AGTAAAAACCGTGCCAACTATCGAACTAACTAGCTAACTAACTAACTAACTTAACTAACTAACTAACTAACTAACTGAAAAACTGACTGACTGACAGACTGACTGACTGGCTGAATAAATAACTAACCAATCTTCTGAAAGACTTTTACGTCTTGAAAGACAACCTTAAAGCAATTTGAATGAAACAGCTTTGCCTGGCCGATGGACATAGAGGAAGTAGATTGTCAAAGTGCTATATTGTGTACTTCCCTACCCCCTTATCTTGACTTCCTTGATATTATGCTCCACAGGAGAGACATTGTCAGTATGTTTGGATTTGGAATTAAAGACGGTGTAAAGGGTAGGGGGGGGGGATTGGACTGGGGTGGCCTTGAGGCTAAGGTGTTCGCCTCTTATTTGAAGGTCCCGGGTTCGAATCCGGAGATCGAAGGAACAATTTTATTCTCTAATATTGTCTGCTTTCACCTCTTTCCCTGCTCTCTAGCAATGTTCTGTCGTCTGCTTTCGTGTCCACTTTCTGCCCCCACCCCCTCACCTCCTCTGGGCTCCTGACTCTTTCTGAAGCCTTTCTACTGCTACTCCTTGGCTCCTTCTTACTGCTGTCTTTCAGCCACACCCCTGATCTAATGGTAGGAAAGATCTACGCCTAGCTTTCTCGGACAATGGCGAAAAATCTGAGGTCCCGTGTGCAATTTGCGTTCCCTTGGTGGTCTAAAATCGATAAGAGTAGGCTTCAGCCGCAACCCCGGCAAAATTCAAAATTTCCTAATAAAAGAAAATGTTTAATGCGTCCCGCGCGCTCATGTGACCTTATGCAGTTGCGAGCACCGTAAAACACGTACAAAAAAATAACCTTAAAACGAGGTGTAAGGGTGTGTCTTACTATTTCTTTTTCTTCGCCGCAGAAATATTATAAGAATATTTTATTATTCTACCGAGCCTCTGCGTCTTTCTGAGAGTGCTGGGCGGAGAGGTTCCCTATTCTTGAAAGCTAGGAATCGTAGGAATCGACTCCGAACCCAATTACTAATTTTCTAATGATGTAATTTCTTTTCTATGGTTACCCGGTTGGCTCCGGACATCTTCGGGATTTAGGATGGCCTTGATTTTGAAACACTGCAAAGCATCAACTTTCATTTTTCAAAAATAAATTCTAAAACAAAAAAAAGAGAAGATTTTTAATAATTAAGGTAACTGGTGACCGTTGGTTTACGTAAAAAGGAGTCGACACTTTTCTTCCGTAGAATTAACTCTTTAGGGACGTATCGGACATATTTGTCCCACCAGAAACAGCTCAAAGCCAATGTTGTGGCTCATTTTGAACCTACATACACTAACCAGAAACACGAGATTTAACATTCCACAATATGAATCCTGAATTTTTTGTTTACGTTTTAGGGCTCAGAAAAAAAGAAAATAATATATTGTTTAAAATCTAAATGGATAACGAAGTTAAGCTTTTTCAAATATTCGAATAACCAGAGTTTGCGTCTTCAAAGAGTTAATCGTGTTAACCGGTTCCGGTTTCGATTTTTTGCCCAGCTCTACTTTCTGAACAAGACTGTTTCCGATTCAGCCTGGGATGGCCCTTGACCTGCAGAATTTAAGCATCCCGCCTTTTACATGGTTTGAACCAACTGACAGACTGACTGACTGACTGACTGACTGACTGACTGACAGACTGACTGACTGACTGACTGACTGACTGGCTGACTGACTGACTGGCTGATTGGCTGACTGACTGACAGACTGACTGACTGACTGGCTGACTGACTGACTGACTGACTGACTGACTGACTGACTGGCTGACTGGCTGACTGACTGACTGACTGACTGGCTGACTGACTGACTGACTGGCTGACTGACTGACTGGCTGACTGACTGACTGACTGACTGACTGACTGGCTGACTGACTGACTGACTGACTGAATGACTGGCTGACTGACTGGCTGACTGACTGACTGACAGACTGACTGACTGACTAACTGACTGACTGGCTGACTGACTGACTGGCTGACTGAATGGCTGACTGACTGGCTGACTGGCTGACTGACTGATAGATTGACTGGCTGACTGACAGACTGACTGACTGACTAACTGACTAACTGACTGACTGGCTGACTGACTGGCTGACTGACTGACTGGCTGACAGGCTGACTGACTGACTGACTGACTGACTGGCTGACTGACTGGCTGACTGACTGACTGACAGACTGACTGACTGACTGACTGGCTGGCTGACTGACTGACTGACTGACTGACTGACTAACAGACTGATTGACTGACTGACTGACTGACTAACTAACAGACTGATTGACTGACTGACAAAGTAACGAACTAACGGACGAACGAACAAAGCACCTGAGCAACCCACGAATTAATTAACTAACGAACAATGAACGAATGAACAAATGACTGATTATAAACAATCCCACCCAAACAAGCACAAAACAAAACTTAACAAAACAAATAAAAAACCAAAACCAAAAATCGTTTTTAAACATCCTTAATAAAAAAAAAACACCAGTTATCTTAATCAGACAAATGGATCATGAACGGGCCACAAAACTGTGTATAGTGCCTTGCCGGGGAAAAAAACCTAAATGATTATGACATGACAGACCTAGACCTAGAGAGTTTGTTTTACTCTGATATCTCTGTATGTAGCGACCTTCCCCCCCCCCAGCTGACCTAGATCTTCAGAATCAGAATGTCTAGGCTCTGACTCATCTACGTCTTATTTACCGCGGAAGTACATTCCTTGATTCACCCACCTGATTTCTGTTGTTGCTGCTGTTGTTGTTTTACTTTTTAATGTTGGTGTAGTAGTAGTAGTAGTAGTAGTAGTAGTAGTAGTAGTAGTAGTAGTAGTAGTGAAAGATATAATAATAATCATAACATATTGTTGTACCTCTGTAACTTCCAGTCGGCCTACCTCTTTTCCTTTTTTCCAGTTTGTCTCCATTACCACGTCTGATATAGCAATATTTAATATTGTCTCTGTCGATCTTAAACCATGTCTTAGGTGTCTACATCTGTTTTATGGCCGTGTTGAATTTTTCCAGTCCAGTTCTTTCCAGCGCTTCATTATCTGTAACAAATTCATTCAATTTTATTAATAAAAATCCTTGTAAACATTTTGTTTGGAAGCTTTTCAATTTTCGTTGATTTGCTCTGTTTGTTTTCCATATCTCTGAACCATACATCAGTACAGTCAAAACAATGCTATTATAACATTTTCAATGAAGTCTTCGATGAAATGCTCTTTGAATTTCAGTGGGTTTTTAAGTTTCACAAAAGCAACCCATGTATTCAAAAGTTTTTTCGATGGGCGTCGTCAATGCAGCCTGCAGTGGCGGAGATAAAATTGCCTACGTACTTGAATTTATTAATTTCTGCTAAGCGTTCCCCATAAAGAAGAAAGAGAGTTGTGTTTTGTGGCAATCGCTACACTTCTGTTTTGAACACATTTATAACAAGGCCAACCTTTTCTGCAGGTTCAGCTAATTCATCGTTGTTTTTGGCGTCAGTGGCCTAGTTGTTAGGCTACCAGACTCGTAATCGTGAGGTTGCGCGTTTGGGGGTTCAAGCCGCGGGCCAACGTTGTGTCTTTGAGAAAGGCACTTTATACGAATTTTCCTCAATTCACCCAGGTGGGAATGGGTACCCGGCCATAGACAGCGAAAGATCTTGTTAATATGCTAGTGTTTTAGCACTTATAAATGGCTACTTGCACTGTATGCTTCACAGGAAGTTGAGGTTGTTTCAGAATGCTATCAGATCTGCTGGGGTAATGGTATAGATTGTGAAGGGCATAGAGCTTGCTGTAGAGCGGGAATTTGCGATATACAAATATGCCATCTATTATTATTATTATTTATTAACTTTCAACTTGCCGCCTAAAAACGGGAGAAGGGTCAATAAAAGAAACAACGAGTTATCCTTATCGGCCTTCTCGAAAAAAAGCACACATTTTGGGGTGAACTAGACTTCGCTGTTCTGTCTCCCTCCTAAGTAGTTATTCACGAAATTTCTCACACCACTGAGATGTCCGTGATATCGCCCGTATCATTTCAGATTTTTTACCCTCCGAAAAACATAGGAAGACAGTAAATTTAAAGGGTACCCCCGCCCCTTTCCAAGAAAAAAACCCTCCAACAAACAAACAAACAAAAACAACAAAACAAACAAACAAAAACAACAAAACAAACCATCAAACATGCTTTAACAACGACACCCCCCTCCCTCTTAATACTTCATGACCTTATGCACAACATCTGCGGTCTACTTGGGGTTTTTACTTTATCCTTCCTGTTGTATCACTTGATGTTGAGGGGAAGTGCAACTTTCAGTCAAAGACAAGCCAAGGGGTGGCTTCTGTTGTTGTTGAAATGTAATTCTTTTGAAGGACCTCGTTCACGCCATGAAGCCAAGTTTTGTGTGGTCTACCCTTGCCCATGTATTCGGACTCTTTTGAGTTGTAAGCTTATGCAGCTGGTTGATTTGGTGACATTCATTTTTTTGTGACAATGACAATCTTTATTCATCTCGCAGGAAGAAATGTGTCTTGGTCGTTTACAATGGCAGTGGATATTACAGAGGTTAGGTGCAGTAAAACATTCACTCTCCCCCTTTCTCTCCCCCCCCTCTCTCTCTCTCTCTCTC